TTTAGGGAAATGAGCTGCCCATTATTCTGCAGGACTCTCATTAAAGATAACCCTTCCTTTGACTGCCTGATGGCAAAGTTCCTAAGTGGATCAGTAGGAAGCACAGAGGGAATGGATGAGCTGTGTGGTGACTATTAGTGGTGACTGCAGGTAATTAAAAAGACTATAGGTGTTGGGAGTATTCTACATCTAATAGCAGCCTGAAAGTATTTTAAAAACATCTAATGATAGAGTCAATTGAGCTTTAAGAATCATTTAGGATACTAGCTTGCCCCTGCGTTAATCAGTAGCTTCTTTTTGATGGAGGAATTAGGAGTCAAATATTGGCTCAGTAGGTCTTTAAAGACTTTTCCTACTTGCAGTGTTGGCCATTATTAAACTGCAATGTTTATGCAAATTGTTGCACAGAAGCCTGTTCAGTATCCAACAATGTTCCCCTGCAAACTCATTAGCTTTCAGCCTCTGTGTTCACAAAAAAAAACCTCGAGACAAAAATATATGCTGAACACAGTGCTACAAGTTGAGGGCAAATTCAGGTTCTGGAGAACACGGTCATGTTTGGGAAGGAGTAGCTACTTACTGGAGGTGACGGTGTTTACTAGGAAAGAACTATCTGTCCAAATTGCATAGAGTTTTATTTTTATCTTGGCTCTTAGCAGACCTGAGTTCTCTATATGTAAATGTTTACAGTGTATATCTCAGCTGGACAGCCAAGGATCTGATTTTTCAGGGGAGGATTTAGTTCATTTAAACTGCTGTATGCCTGTGTCTTATGAGTGCAATGAGGTATCCCTTTCTGTGCTAGTCCCTAGATTTCCCAGACATTCAAACTGAGAAAAAAATGAATGGATTTAAGGCTATCAGAAAAGGTCACATGCACCTAACTCATGTTAACTACATAGACTAACTACATAGACTTCCATGTATAAGAACTCCCTCTGGAGGATTTCATTGTCATTTACCTCTTTCCATTGACAGCTGAGTTTAAACACTCCAGAAAGCCTAATCCTAATGTGCAGTTTGGTGAGCAGCATCCAACCAAGTGCTTCAGTGTATACATTACAGTGCCTTGATGAAGACAAAAAGAACCAGGTATCATTCCTAACCAGGAAGATAAAAGGAGAAATTTGGATAAAACATTTCTGTGTTGATCAATTTCATGACAATAGGAAAAGTTCAGAGTCTTGCACTGTAGAAGCCCAAAGAAGGTCGGGATTGCATCAGCTTCTTCAGCCCAAGTTCCCCAGGCTGTGGCACAGCTGCAAACCATGTTAAGGAGGAAAAGACACGGTGAAACAAGCAGACAGCAACTCCTAAACATACTGATGAGCGATACAGCAACTCTGTTGGCAGTAATGCAGGAGAATAATGAAGCTGCTTGCTTACTGCACCATTTGCTGCCTTGGAGCAAGTACAGGGAAATATATCAAGAACTTTCAAAGCAGTAACAATAACAACAGCAACAAAATTTTCCTATATTGTTCTTTATTCTATGGTAGAAAGTCCACTTCAGACATAATGTCCGACAGGAAGCCTGAGGGCAGTTAAGATGACACAGCCCAGCTGGACTAAGCATCGATCATTTCACATCTTATCACCATGCCTTTTCCAGAACTTCAGAGTTCCCCACACCCACCTAAAGTGTCTTCCAGTCCTCCAGCCTGTTGCTCTGGACTTCAAGGCAAAATCAGTGCCTTGCTAACTGTAGCATGAAAAAAATATATTCGTAGTGGCTTTGAAAGGACATTTTTGTGCTCTTGTCACTTGGAGGATACCCACACATTTTTTTGCTTTGCTGCTCCTTCATCCATTTTTCAAAGCTTCTCTGAAAATATCTTTTGTGCCCTCCTGTTTCTTTTTCTGTGTTCAATGACCAAACATTTGGCTTTGAAGAACGTTTTGAGATCCATTATTCATAAAAGCCTGTCCTAAGGAAGGGCCAGCTCACTCTGTGCTGTTTGCTCAGAAGGCAAGAAGGAAGGAGAGCAATAGAAGCATGAGTTAATTACTGCTGAGCAGCAGTGCTTCCCACCACCAGCCTCCTGTGTGATGCACTGCCAAAGCTGTATCTTGCTGACAAGTCCCCTGGGACTGCTTTAAGAATGGCATTGAGCAGCTCACAGCACACAAACACAATGAGCAATAGGATATAAGTGATGTAACCCATGCTAAAAGACATCCAGAAATGTCAATGAGAAGCACCTTTCTGCCCTGGCACTTTGCGTGGCTCTATAAGCTAGAATGGTGTGTCCTAGCACACGTGAGATATCCTGAGTAGGTCTGCACCTAGCTTCTGAGCTTCCCCTGAAGTTCAAGATCACCAGTGACCATGCCTGATGCATTCACCAGCACTAAGGATTCTCCTCACTCCTTTTGTGTGCAATGAGTATATTGGAGTGTAATGAGAAAAAGCATTTCCAAAGCCAACCGTATCCTGGGCTGCATCCAGAGCAGCGTGGCCAGCAGGGTGAGGGAGATGATCCTGCCCTTCTGCTCTGCACTGTGACACACTACCTGGAGTATTGCATCCAGATGTGGAGTCCTCAGTACAGGACAGACATGGAGCTGTTGGAGTGCATCCAGAGGAGGACCACAAAAATGATCCCAAGGATGGAACACCTCTCCTACGATGACAGGCTGAGACCTGGGCTGTTCAGCCTGGAGAAGAGAAGGTTCTGAGGTGACCTGACAGTGGCCTTCAGTATCTGAAGAGAGGCTATAAGAAGGAAAGGCACAGCAGGGTTTGATGTGGTAAGTCAAGGGAAAACGATTTCTAACTAAAAGACAGAAGATCTAGATTGGATATAAGAAAGAGGCTTTTTACAATAAAGGTAGAGAGGCACTGGAACAGGCTGCCCAGAAATGTGGTGGACGCCCCATCCCTGGGGACATTCAGAGTCAGTCTGGATGGGGCTCTGAGCACCTGATCGAGCTGTAGGTGTCTCTGTTCACTGCAGGGGAGTTAAACTAGATGACCTTTAAAGGTCCCTTTTAACTCAAAAATGTATAATTCTTGTCTTTTTCTCTTTTTGAGTAGCAAACATTTTGCTTTACTGCTTTTGCTTCTCCCATGCCTCAGAGCATGGTGCCTGGGCCCCAGTTTATATGACAAATCAATATGAGAATTTCAATCATCATCTGTATCTGTTTACAGCTAGTGGCATCTAGAACAGAGGATTGCTTGAAGGAGTCAGAGTACGCAAACAAGAAAGGATATTGCAAGTTCTCAGTGTTTCTGTTAAAATGGTTATGGCAGGATTCGTCACCTCTATAATCCAATCACTGCTAGTAGTGCAGTTGGTGTTTCAATGTTTCTTTCCTTACAGTTTCAACAGGTTCAGTGTGTTATTGCCTCAGTAGCTCATGCAGTCAATCAGCTCACTGTGAAATATGCCCTTTTTGGCAGCTGCTGCACGTTGAGCTGAGCCAGAGGTCTGCTTTCAGGCTGGTGATACCAGAGCATAGAATCATAGAAGCACTGAATTGAGCCCAACCCCTTGCAATGAACAGGGACACCTACAGCTTGATCAGGGTGTTCAGAGCCTCTCCAGACCAACATTAAATGTCTCTAGGAATGAGGCATCCAACACAATCTGATTCTCTGCTCTTTTTGTGTTCCTAGGCCATAGACATGACTCTTCCCCTCCAGCAGCCAACCCTAAACACAACCCAATCAACCAACCAAAACCTCTGACTTCCTTTCTCTTGGTGTAATATGGAAAGAGCATGTTTGCCACCTGAAAGTCAAATCCATCCTCTTTGTATTCCACTAACATCAAGGAGAAATTTGGTTCATTCTTTGTGAATGATTTTCCCTTTAAAATTTTTTCTTGTATTTACTTATTCAAGCATGTTATTCCATCCAAAACCAGCTCCATGTCACGGCATCCCAAGCTGCTCCTCTCTTGCAGCTGTCTGAACGAAAGCCCATCACATGGCAGTACCTCTGCAGCACATAGTAAGCTGTGCAGCTCACAAAAAGCAATTCAAAATGAAGAACAACCTTTCCCAACAACCTTTTCAGAACTCCGCATGGACATCAGCCAGACACAAGACTGAGCTGCAGAGGTTGCATTAAACTCCCCATCTGCTCTTCATGCCGCTCACCACTGATTTATAACCCACAGTAAAGTCATTTGGTCCAAAACAAATCGTCGTGGCTCAGATGAGTGCACAAGAAACCAGCTGAGCCTTTTCTCCCAGTGTCCCCAGGCAGAGAATGTGTCCTAGCCAGGAAAAATTGCCCAATATTAACGATTCCAGAGTACGTGATACCTGCAGCTATGCCACTCTCCAAATAAACCAGTAAAGCCAGATTTTGTTCTCATTTATGACACTTTTTAGGCATTGTCTCAGTTGCTCTGGGCACAGCTATCCCTTTACTCTTGTGTCAACGATGGCAAAGCATCCCTGAGGGGCTCAGCAGCTGTTTCGAAAACTCGGAGCAGTGTTCAGAAGGACACTTACAAGTTTGTTTTCACCTTCCAGGAAAACTGCTTTCTGTGGGGGCCCAGCTCCTGGCTGCAGTGCTTTGCTCTGCCCCTGTGCTGAAAACTCCTCCACGGAGACCCTGCACTTCCCGTGGGCTGCCTGCCCGCTTGCTTTGGGCAAAGACCAGCCTCGGGTGCTGGAGAGCGGTGCGTGTCAGCTGCGTGTTAGAGGGCTGCCGTGGGACGCTGCGCCAGCCGTTAGGACGGGCACGTACGATGGCATTAGTGATGACTTACATACAAAAACCAGCGGAACAGAAAGATTTCGGGCACTCTGCGAGGGGACCCCGCAGCTCACCGCACCCGCCTCCCGATGGTGTCGGGCCCGAGGCGGCTGCTCCCCTCCTCCGGCCGCACCGCACCGCACCGCCCAGGGGCCGGGGGCCGCCCGCGAGCAAGGGACGGGCGAGGGGCGGGCCGGGGGCGGCGCTGCCTGCGGGGCCGCACGGGACGGCGGCGGCAGCGGAGCCGGAGCCGGGCTGGGGCGGCCGCGACGGAAGCGGAGCGGAGCCGGGCGCGGTGAGCGGAGCCGGAGGGAGGGGGTTCCTCGGAGCCCGGCGTTGCTGCGGGTCTGGTTCTCTCCCTGAGGGTTTGTGGTTTGATTTTGTTTTTTTCTTTTAAGGGAGGTCAGCACTTGGCTTGGGTTTTGTTTTATTGGTTGTGGGTTTTTTTGGTGTTTTGTTTTTGGGTTTTTTTTTTTTTTTTTTTTCTGTTGTTCCTCTCGCTGGCGGGGCCGTGCCGCTGGTGTTGATGCTCGGAGCTGCGGGGGCTGCCCCGCTTTTGGCGCTCCGAGTCACCTGGTGCCCTCCTGCCGGAACCCAGAGCGGTCGCCTTTCACGAGAGTTTGACCTCGGTGTGCACCGGGCCCGCGTTTGGTTGGTCCCAAGGGTGCTGTGGCAAGATACCGGTTTTGTCCTTCCCGAGTCCGCGCGTTTTCAGAGTGCTTGGATGGAGCACTTTCTCGTTTCGGAGGAACGGCTTTGGCTGGAGGCAGGCAGGCAGGGATGCACAGGTTGCTTTCTCCTTCGTAGAGACGCTGCAGCTGGGGTTCGGATGGTGCAGAGCGTTTGGTGGGCGCTGTGCATCTCCTCAGTGGCACTTTGGGCACAAGGGGTGGTTGCCACACGTGTGCTCGTTTGCAGTTTGTGGGAAGACGACAGCAAAGGAACTGCTCCCTCTGCAAATGAATCCTAAAACGTCTATCCTGTGGGCTGGGAGATGAACAGAGCTTAGATTACACAGTCTGGAATAATAAACCTGGAGGGATGCACAGAAATGCTCCCTTTCCAAAGACTTTGTGCCCAGCTATGAGCTCTGGGCTGTTGCAATATCATCTCAGTGGGGTAACAAAGTTTGGGACAGAAGAAGCAAAGCAAACTCTTCCCATCCTTGCAGATGTTAAGTGGTAGTGATAGGGAGATGATGAAAATATTACTAAAAGCCTGGGCATGTGCCAGACTTCTTAGCATGTACGTAAGTAAAGAAAATTAGGAAGGCATAGTGAGTATTATTAAATGTAATTTGTAGATATTTATAGCAGAACGGGACAAAGATGAATAAAAGAAGTGTATGAAATCTGGAGTCCAGAGCAGGTACATGGTTCTGGCAGCTTTATTCCAATAAAGGATCCAACTAGAGGATGGATATCTGTTTCTGTACTATTTTGCTTTTCTGCAGTCACTTTGACCCTGTGCTGAGTTTTCTGAGCCTGAACAGTCTGAAATGATGAACAGCCTAAAATCAGTCTCCTGCTCTCTGCTGTGTTGTCTACAAGGGCCTGTCCCTATTAGGGATGGTGCTGCTGGCTATCGCTGTGTGTCTGCTCTGGCATGCAGGCATGCCTGCCTGCAAGCTGCTGCCTGCCATGTCCAGGATGCTTGCACTGCTGTCAGCAGGAGAAATGCTGCTGCACCTGGAGCCGATGAGGAAGGGGTCCTGGGCTGTTTCAGCATACAAGCATACTCTGATATCATCACCCATTTGGTGGGTGCACATGTATGGAAATATTTGGCATAAGAAGTTATTGCTATTTGCATTTCATTAACCTTTTCAGACGTAAAAGGCTGACCGGGGTAGCCGGTGTCTGCCAAATGTCTTGGTTCATAATTGGGTCTTAGTGGTGCACTGCAAATTATAAATGGTGTTCTGTGAATTCCCCATCAGAGGCAGGAAGCAATGCAGTTCTCCTGGCGCCCCATCGACGCAGGAGCATAAGAGGAATTAGCTCAGCTATAGAGCACGTCTAGAAGTTACTGATGTTCCACCAGGGTTTGAGGCTTGGAATTTAAATATTGAGAAGTTGTGACATTTGCGTCTCTCTCTGTAACATCCTCCTGCAAGCACTCCTGCCCCTGTGTCTTCATGACTGTAGTTGCCTCCTTTTCCTGGTTTGCACAGAGGAAATCCTGTTACGGCACAGCCTGACTGCAGCGCTGTTGCAAAAAGCCACCTCTGAGCCTTGGCTGCATCTCCCCTCTCTGTCATCCTGGTGTCTGTTGCCCTTTCCCTGCTGCATCGGACACATCAGCTGCAGGCTTCGCATTCAGCATCCTGGCGTGGGTCCCATATGTGACATCCCAGCTCTCCTGCTTTTCCAAGATGTACCCACTGGGTTTTGATCACCCTGTGCTCCCAGCATCCATCATCCTTCCTATCACCTTCGTATTTCCCTGAGCTTTGCCTTGTGCTTACTTGTCATATAGGTGCCTTCTCTGTCACATCATTAATTTCTTTGATACATCCCAGCACGTCCACTTTTGATGCTTTCTTTGGCTGTCTGATATGGAAAGAAGCCCTCACTGCGCTGCAACACATCCCTGTCACTGGAATTAGTCTGGGGCTGGATTTGAGCACAATGGTGTCCTCTAGGACTGGGACACCTGAGAGGCAGTGTTGCACAGATAACTCTATCTGGCACCAGCAGCAGTGTCCTTCCATGCTCTGTGATTAGCATTAGCTCTCTGCACTTGCTCCTTTTGACATTTCAGGTGCAACCCTGCCCCCTTATGCTTACACATCACAGCTTGGTTCGCTGCAATGACTCTTGCAAGAGAGTTTTATCACTGTGTCAGTTACTGCACACTGCTTTGCAAGCAATGAAAATATGTAAATGTTATGCACACACCCATACAGATGGTAATGTCACAGCCTCTCTGTCAGGGCAGGGCATGCCGCCTGTGTTGGTAGGATAAGGATGGAGATCTTTTTCATTATACAGCTGAGAGGACACAGAGAATCAAAGCAGGAATGTTGAGTCCAGAAACAGAGTTACAGAGAGCAGAGTTACTGTGATTGTACATCTGTGCCCAAATTCATGAGCATTTGAGTTGTGAACTGCAGAACTCGGTACTGAATCTGCTTTTCTGGGGAGAAGAGATTTTGAATCAAGATGGTGCATTAATAAAGAGTTCTGTTTAATATATCATGCAGTTTTTGTCCTAGCTTTATGTTGTGCCAGGATTTCTAAGGTTTACACGAAGTCTGATTGATATTCGAGGGCTTCATGCAGGCTGTATACTCAGATTGTTCTTATAAAATATATTGCTAGTAGTGTGTTACCTATTACAGTAGGAAAGTGTTCTCTTTTTTCTCTGGACGCCACTTCCTGCATAACTGTGTCACTAATTAGGGGCTGATAACCCTCTTGACTTGGTTCAGGGCCACATACTGTTCAGCATGATATAGTGCTGCAGCACTGCTAGGGTTAACAGAGACCTGAAATCCATTCACTTTCAGATTATCCATATTTAGCTCTTAGGCTATCTTTCTGGTAGTGACAGGGATGGGGTCTGGTATTTCTAAAGGTTTTTTTCCCCTTTCCCAGGAGTGATGCAAACCAGAAACCCTGCAAGGTGTTAGCTTCACAGATGAGTGCAATGGAGAATGAAAGCCAGCCTTGATAATCAGGACTGCTTGCCTGGGGCTGGGTGTTTTATCTGATAGGTTTTTCTCTGAGTAAATGGTGCTGAGGATTTGTCCCACTGGGAATCCATACAGCTTCAGGGGGAGCTGCTTGTCCTCCACTGCTCCGAGTCTTTGGCCACAAGCATGGAGCCCCACATCAGTCCCCTTGCTGCAAGTACAAAAGTTGGTGACTGGGAGCTGCTGCTAAAAACTAGGCACCAGCTAACAAAGTTTAATTAACTTCTGTTTGCTCTGAGATTAATTGTATCACTCCTCGCTCGCACTCATACTGGTGACTTCATGCTCTGGATGGGATCCTCTGCAGAGCTATTTGCAGCCTCTGCAGAGAGGGACAGCAGGAATGGGACGACAGCTGTTAGAGGAGAGCTGAGAAGAAACAGCTGAAATATTTTCAGATATTTTTCTGTATTTCCATTGAGGGAAACAGTCTTTCTGGCCTTCCTTTATTTTTGCCTTGTGAAAATGTGCCGTCATTCCACCAGACACTAGATTTTCTACTCAGACAAAACTTTCAAATTTGAGGTTGCCAAAGATCAGACAAAAAGTTGTTCTGTAAATGCAGAAATGAAAGAATCCCGGTCCCTTTGGGTTCCTCTCCCCTTGCACTGGATCTCCTTGCCAACCTGCAGGCTCCAGGAGCACCCACTGAGGGGTCTGTTGCTTTGGCTGTGGCATCTGGGTCTGCATTTAACTGCAGAAGACAAGTAGTGAGATCTAAAGCCATTAGGGGGAACCAAATGGCTGTTTGAACCTCAGTGTCTCCTCTTCTTGTGTTGTCACTGAGCTTTCAGAGCTCGAATGTCTTTGATATTTGGTTGAATTTGGCAGGTGACCAACGGGAGCAAAAGTAGTATAAGAAAGACATAAAATGGCTGGAGAACACCCAAAGACAGGCTGTAAAGATGGTGGAGAAGAGAGCAAGGCATACGAGGAGCAGCTGAGGCCGCTGGTTTGCCCAGCCCAGAGCAAAGGAGCTGATGGCAGCTGCAGCTCCACACAGGGAGCAGAGGGGCAGCGTTGAGCTCTGCTCTCTGTGATAGCGGCACGGCCCGAGGGAGCGGTGTTAAGCTTCATACTGCATCTCTGGTGTGTTTTATCAGCTCAAGGTTTTGTAGGCTCTGTTCCTTTCGCTTCGTTGGAGACGGGTTTTGTATCACGTGAAGGGCTGGATGGGCAAGAGCAGAGCTCAGTGCATGTCAGGGGAGATGTCTCCTGCAGAGACAAAGGAGAGCTGGAAAAGAAACAAAACCATTTATATTTGTTGTGTTTCAAATCACTGCTGCAGAGATTTGTGCCAGTTTCCCCATGGCAGCCATTCTGAAAGAAACAAAGGGAAGAGAAAGATTCTCTACTGTGAGGAGATGAAATTACAAGGCATAGGATGGAACTCTGTTACAAGAGGCAGATTTGTGAGAGAGGAGCTTTGCAGGGATTGTTGCATTCCCCTCTCCATCCTACCAGCAGCACCTGCCTCAGCCTGTGTGCTCCACCACTCAGAGGTGCACTCACTGCCCTCGCGCCCAAGCAGGAGCTGGGTCCAGCCCTGGGGATGCCAACCTGAGGCTTTAACTGCAGCCTCACACCTCTCCTCCTTGATGTGTAGATGGTCAGTAAGCTGTCTGCCTCTCTCTAGGTGGAACGTCGTGATACAGTCACTGTTATCAAATACAGGGTTATCAAAACATTTGCATTTCAATGGTGCTGACTTTTAACAGCTGCACTAGATAATTTTCTTTATTGAACTTGGACAGGCTTAAACCATAAGTGATTCAGTGATGGAAGGGATGAAAGCAACATAACAATGCATTAACATTCATCCCCAGAGATCTGCTTCTCTAATGCAGTTCAAACCAAATGTGCTGAAAGGGTAGTGCTTTGAGATGTATAATGACTGTGACTGTCTCTTCTTTCCTGGAGAGGAATATCTTCTTGAAAGTGACCATGCTTTGTTTTAATCTGTGCTGTCTGGGATTGTTTTTCAAATATAAAATCAATTTAGTTTGCTTTATTAAAGGCAGTTCAGGGGCCAGGTTTTCATTTGAAGTATCAAATGAATTTAGAATGCAAAAATCTACTAGCTCTCCATGTGTACATACAATATTCAGTTTGGGGATTTCAGGTAAGTGAATTTAAACTGCAAATTGTCTGAAATAAAGAGAAAAAGAAATGATGGTGTGTAACATAGAAGGACCTGATTCCTGGCAGGATTCTTCAGATGATGATGTGAAATGAACAGAGATACACAGCTCCTGTGCTTATAGCAGTGCCAAGGGACAGCAGGGTGTCTTGGTCCAGGAGCACCTTGCAGAAGAAGAGGGAAAGGGTATTACTGAGACATGTCTGCAAAGCACAGATCAGGAGATAAGTGTGATTTTTATATTATATGTGCAGTGCTGTAGGTGGACAGCTAGCAGAAATGTGGCTAGCAGAAATGAAAAACATGCCTAGACTCCATCCGCTTTGTTTTCCTCTGAAATTTCTGGCACTGGAAAGAATCAACATTCAGTACTTTTCCTCCATGTTTTTCTTTTTTTTTGTTTGTTTGTTTATTTCTTTAATTAATGTATTTATTACTAAACTCTTCATCTTTTATTTATTTGCTTTTTTAGAGAGGCTTTTCTCAGCATGCAGTCCCTTTAGATTTGGGTGTGATAACCAAGCACATCTGGCACGTTGGACTTCTGGCTTGCATTCTTCTGTCATCCTGCTTGTAAGTATTCCTTCTCTTTGCCTATATATTTTAAGGAGTGTACTCAACTGACAGTGACGGAAAGGGTGGAAGCTTTAGGTCTGATCTCAGGTCACAATGGCTTTGCTTTGCATTGATATAAATAACTGTAGTGTGCAGATGCATGGGAAATGTAAATGATAAAGGCATTTTGAGCCCATCTGAATTAATTGAGTATCCTTATAGCTCTGAGGGGTTCCTTTTCCCAGTCCCCACACAAAACCCCAAACAAAATATAACTTGATTTTGACCTGCAACCAAGCCATCTGGACTGTTGTCCTCATAGATTTTTAAAATCATAAATTTAAATCACATTGTAATAAAAGATGCAATTAAATCATAAATTAAAAGGAAGACTTTGCTTGTGGCAGGAAATAGATTTTCCTTTTCCTTGTGTGCACTTTTATACTGAGTAAGTAGATGACTGATCCTGTTTCTCAGGCAGAGTGGTAAAGGGATTCTGTGCTCCTGGAGAGTCCAGAGACATGAAGAAACAAGATCCTATGTACTTGTGGTTTTTCAGTTGCTAAAGGCATTTATTAAAGAAAAGGAAGAATTAAGGATTATATTCTTGCTAAACTCCAAGCAATATGTCATACTTTGGCTTCCCTACCTACACTTTCTACATTTTCAACCAAGTAAATTATTGTTCACTTCTCTTCTGTCTAGCACTGTTGTCTGGTTTGGTTACAAAATGTTAAAATTACACATTTTTCCAGCATAGAGCAATCTACTTTTCAAGGCCAGAGAGTTCCCTGTATGTAAAGTCCAATCAGTACTTTGGTATGAGCATGTAAAGGTATTTTAATGGCATTAAATGCTTTGTGTTGCAAGTTGTTCATTTGTGGTGAAATAATCCTATATGGCAAAGGAAATGAATGCATAAAACAAAGGTGATGGGACGGAAGATAGACAAATTAAACAAGAAGCTGCCTGGCCTTCATATCTATATCAAATTGACAAGGGTTGTGAAAAGTCTTAATCTCTCACAGATCTAGTGAAAACTTGCTGCCAGCTTTTGGCACCATAATAATAGGGCTGAGGATGGAGGCATCTTTAAGCATCAGGATATTTCATACTAGAACTGGCATCACCTGTGCTGTCCTCTGGGAGTCTGCACAATTACTCTCCTGTCAGGACCATGCTGAACGAAGGAGAGGGAGTTTTTTTCCAGGTCATGAGGGGATGATATCATTATCCGCTCGCTCTTGGTTCCAGAAGGACAAAAGAAAGCAGAGAACACATCTGTGAGCAATGCAGGGAGCAGCCCCATCCCTGACTCCCTCTGTGCTTTCCTCTGTTTCACACACATGATCACTGCAAGCGTGCTTCTTCCATCTGCACCTCTGTGTCCTTCAGAACACGCATATCTGCCAGCAGGGGAGCTGGATCTCTGCAATGACAGTGTGCATGGAGGGAACGAAGCCTGTGCACTGAGGCTCTGTGGACAGATGCCCATGGGTGAGCTTCACCAGTCCTTCCCTGGCTCATTGAAAGACTCCCTATCCTCCCCAGAGCCATTTGTTTTGAAGAAGATTGCAGAAACCTAATTTTTTCATTGCAGCACTGCCCATTGCAGTAAGGTTGGAGCTGCCTGATCTTTAAGGTCCCTTGCAACCCAAGCCATTCCATGATTTATCCTCTGTCTCTGGGCTGAAATCACTCAAAATGGTTTGAAGTTTTTAGGGAAGGAAGGCAGATGAATCCCCTGTTGATGTCTGAAGGGAAAAGGCAGCTCACTGTTGGAACAATTGCAAAAGCAAATTAAGTTCTCCACTGCTAGGAGTTGTTTACAATGAGAAAATGACTTTTTAGGATACCTTCTTACCTGTAAAGAAGCTGATGGAAGATCGTGACAAAAGTATTATTTACCCAAAATTAAAAACACTGATTTCCCTAGATGTTTGTTTGTCTGTCTGCATAAACACTTTGAAGCCTATGAAATAACCAATGTATTTGTCAGTCTGTAGTCACAAAAAGCCAGGAAGAACCAAGAAAACAAAGTGCTTATCTGTGGCTGATAAACTCTGAAGAAAATGAATCTACTGGACTTATCTTTCCTTCCTGTTCCTCACTGTTAGGCACTCAGTGTGAGAGTACATCCCATTAACTTATATTTCACTTTGTCTGGAGAAATAGAGTTGTTGCATCAAGGTATTCAGAGACATACGGCACAGGCAACTGCATAGTAAAGGATTTATGACACTGGGAAATGTAAAAGCTCTCTTGTTTACTTCATGACTTCTTGGATAGCACTACAGCCTCATTTAAAATTCACCTTAGGTTGAACAGGGAGATGATTGATGTCTCAGCAGTGTTCAAGATTAAATTGCATGTGTTATGCATAGCGCCCTGGATATATGCTGACTGATGAGACCTCCACCCCTGACCACACTGCCGTTTTCAGAAGTAGTTTTTATGATAGGTGCCATCAGAGATGTAAGCAGTTGATAACTTTGGCACACCTTCACAGACATGCTACTGCATGGCAACTGGGATTTAGCTCTAACACAGTAGCAGTTTCTTAATCTTCACTTCTCCACTTTATCTTGCTTTCTGAGGAGGTCAATTTGTCTGTCTCCCACTTACCATAGGACAAAATAAAAGATGACAAACCAAATGGGGCTGCTTGAAGTATCTGTGAGGTAGCCCTGCTCTCAGAATAAGAGTATCACCACCTTTGAAAAGTGATTTATACAGAAGACATGAATGGAGTAACAGTGCACAAATGGAGGATAACATTTGCATGATGGTCTGTTTGAAAAGTGTATAAAGGTGTCTAAAGTGTATATGTTGTATAAAGGACAACGTGTATCTGACAAAGCCTTGTGTGCTGGCCCTCATATTTGGGGATTGAAGTAGTAGAATAAGATTTTTCTGTCTTTTATATCTAAAGCCAGCAGAGAGCGGAGCTGAAGTCTGTGAGTCTGTGCCTTTTTTTTTTCTTTTTTTTTTTTTCTTTTTCTGTAGTGCATCTGTGTCAGTAGTTTATCCATCAGAGCAGCAAAGTGGTGTAACAGTGGAGTAATAGCAGGGTGGAAACATAGCCAGATTGGAAAGACAGAGTATGTATGGCCTGGGGCAGCAGTGGGATTGGATTCAGTGATTCATGAAGGCTCCTCGAGTTGCACATCCGTGTTCGAGGATTACTGAGGTGCCTCTGAGAAGGTCGTCTGAATCCAGCAACACCACAAATACTGAGTCTTCCTGCAGATAGGTCCTAGTTCTCTTGTGGCCAGAGATCATTCAAGAAGCACCACGAAAAACAAGAGGAACACAGTCTTCTGCTTTTAGAGTAAGAGTTCATTTCCAGTCATTCGGCAGTAGAGCTTTAAATTTAGTTTTTAGCTTAAGGAAAACAGCTTTCTAGCTGTAGACAAGGGAAAAGTATGGACCGCTACAGAAGTTGAATCCCTTGATTGGTTTACAGGTCTCAGAAGACAACGGGTTTACTGAAGTTAGCCACTTCCAATTTTCTCGTTGTACTTTGAAGTCGGAGACAAACTTCATAATCATTTTGCTGGGACCAGGTTTGGCCTTGACATTGTTTTGTGTAGTTTTCAGAAATACACAAACCCATTTACAAAGTGAGAAGATGAAGCCAACAACTGGCTTTACTGAGGGTTATTCCTTCGGGAGGGCTAGATCTCAGAAGAGAGCCAAATGGCTGCACTACTTACTTCCTCATTTCAGAAGGAGCAGGAACCTGATCCAAGGTGGTGGCTGTAGTGCACAGGATAGAGCTGCTCTTCAAAACTAGAAGGCCTGGTTTGCTTCATGGCAGAGGTTTGTGTAGCTGCATTCAGTCCAGAACTGCACTTCCACCTGACAGTCACCAGCTGAGCTGCTCTGTCTGATTTCTAGCTCTTTCTGCAGTGCGGGGATCACATCAGGGAACTTCATCAGGGATCAGTGTTGGATCTGTTTTATTTCTGTATATTCGTTGTGCCTTTCCTATGAATGCTGTTCAGATATTAGGACACGATATGGTCACGCTCCCATGGGACATTGCTGGTAACTTACTTTAGTTGGGTACAGATGGTTTGTAAAGCTTTTAGGCTGAGCAAAACCCAATGTTTTAGGTGTATATTTTTAAACATGTGATTAAAACAACACACTTTGCTTTTTTTCTCTTCCAAAAACATTACCTGAAGAGTCACTTTAGCTGAAGATGTATAATGAGATCTGGTCACATGTTACATCCCTTTGCAGTGTGAGTGATGCAGCTGGAATGTGGGCCATCGTCATTTGGAATCACAGTTGATGGTGCCTCTGATCTCGCCACAAAATACTCAGTTCAAAATAGCCCAGCTGGTATTGCAAGACCTATAAGGGCTCAGATCTAGCAAAGCATTCACATCTCTGCTTAACTGTAAGCTTCTGATTAGTCCTCTATAAGACTATAAATTTTTACTTGCTTCAAAGGAAGTCTTAAGCCAAAGTTCTTCCTTGTATCAGGGCCAAAACCATTAATGGTAAAAGTAGAACACAGATTTCAAACTTGTGAAGAATTTAAAGGCTTTTAACTTCTGCCATATTAAAGAATTTATGTGAATTAATTCCTGAAGTTATTATAGGAAAATTCAATTATTAATGGATCTGCTTTTCATTATGACGAATAATCAAGGATAAACATCTTCTGTATCAAAGCTTATCTTTTAAAAAGGATAAATTAGCTGTAAGATGCTTAACTACTTCCAGAACACGAAATGAACATTGTTGTTCTGTTAGTTAATTTTGGATCACTAAATTAGAGCTAGTTCAAAAGGACTATAATCTCATAAGGATCTCTCTGTTCAGTCTGTTGTGACTCATTTCATAAGGTGCTTGTAATAAATAATGCTTCTCATTGGGATAAATGCTATTAGTGATATAAAATTGTTGATTTTAAATATGTTTTAGACGTCTGTGTGAGTTATATACCACAAGGGTAGGAATATTTTTATTTGGTATTTGCAGATGCAAGTTGTGTACGCCTGTGTATCTTGTAGGCTTTTGGGATACTTGGGAAGGTTACCAGAAGCTATGCAATAAAACAACATCTGGAATGTAACATTTTGTCCATCAAAACATTATGGATGTGAATATATTAGTAATTTAATCCAGGCCAGGCCATAGGCCTGTCAGTAGCTCTTGTGTTAAATTAGTAGCACACTTCCTGGCATGGTTTCAGCCAGCTAGCCCTCTGCAAGCCATGCCTGGACATACGTGAGGTTAGCAATGACCATCATTCAGTCCCAAAGGCAGCTGCCAGTTGGCCGTCTTGTCCATGGACATGAGAGTTCAGCCATCTTTGTGCAGTGTGCCATGCAAGTTGTTCTCAGCACCAAGGAACAGACCTGACTTGTTCTATTGAGCTGTATAGATGCGATTGTGAGGTATATAAAATAAATTAGGATTAAAAAAAAGTAGGATTAGAATATACGTTCTGCTTAATATTGTCTTTGTTCACCTAGGCATGGGGCCTGACCTCCTAAATGTAATTTACAGTGGAAAAATACCGCGAGTAACCGCGCAAATAACTTTGGTAGATGCAAAACATTTTTCAGTAGGTGTCTTCAAGGCTTCGTGAGAAGCAGCAGCACCAGCAGAAAAGTATCTTGTATTTCCTAAGGAGCTTTAGTTTAGATTGGGACTTTTGTGGTCAAAGCAAGTGTGGAAAAGTGTCACCCTCTTGAAGACAGAGGAACTTTTCTAAGTTAGCAGAAGTAACAAGGGTAAAGGAAAAAAATGGAAGGCAGAACATTGCTTAGAATAGTGCTGGGACACTTCAGTGGAAACACTGGGAGATACTTCATCTGTTATGTGACGCACAGAAGGAGACCACAGACTACTGAATCATTACTTTAATGTCCTCATTCTGTCTTTCTGACTGTTGATGACAGTTTGCTCTCTTCATTGATATGAAAACCAGTAGGATTTTCCTCAAAGCCTCTAACTGTGAGTAAGAGATAATTTTATTAAGCTGAGACCACAGAACACGGCCTAAAGCAAAGTCAAGATGAGAGGGACCATACTAGGAACTTAGATGTGTAGGGATATTGCCTTCCTAGTGGGGAGGAAATAGTTCCTTTCCTTGCTGTGCCCAAGTATCTGCAATGAGAGGTTGACTACAGACAGCAGAAATGGTTTCAAACTAAAAGAGGGGAGATATAGATCAGATATAAGGAAGAAGTTTTTCACAGTAAGGGTGATGAGGCACTTGCACATGTTGCCCAGAGAGGTGGTGGATGCCCCATCCCTGGAGACACCCAAGGTGAGACCAGACAGACTCTGAGCACTTGATGGAGCTTTAGGTGTCCCTGTTCATTGCAGGGGATTTGGACCAGGTGAACTTTAAGGGTTCTTTCCAATTCTATAATTCTGTGATTCTATGACGGATAGAAAAATTGTATGTGGATAACTACATAGAGAAAATGAGCTTCATTTCCTCCACGCTTACACCTTACATGATTTATTCTGTATCAAAACAAAGGCAATAGCTTACTGTGTTTAAATCAGATAGGGCATGTCAGCTTTTTACAAGCAATTCTCTACCAGCAAGCCTTCTCGTGCTTTTCCAGGCTGCATGTGGGAATTGACCACATTGGTTTTAAAATAAAAAGAAGCTCAGCATACTTCAGTCCACTCCTCTTGTTGTACTCTGAACTTGAGCACCAGAGTTTCCAGGTTTAAACACAAAGTGGCTGAAGGCAAAGCTCTGCTGCTCCTGGGTAATCCCTTCTTTTTATCCTTAGCTGCTGGGGCTGCTTGTTTCCTCAGGGTTTTGCTTGTAGGTGTCAAAAGCTGCAACACTTCACCGAAATGTGTGTGCCATTGAGACATGAGCTTCACACTATGAATGTGAGGTGCATTTTGATCTTTGAAACCATCGGATCCATTTCATAAATAAGAAGTCAGGTCTGGCAGATTTTCCCATTCCGGTCAGCTCAGGTAAGACAATATGGAATAAGTGGCTGAAGGTGATGAATTATCACCCACAGTGGTGTTGTAGAGCCGCCTTGTAGGCTGACAAACTGATGTCTTGAGAGGGGTTTTTCATTCCTTGATTAGCTTTTATCCGCAAGACAAATTTGGACTCTAGTATGCCTGTCCCATGTAAAGTGCAAAGCTACTCTTATTGGTCTGTTCTACAGTCAAAGAAATCCTGGGAAAGAATCAATTTTATAGGATTTATCTTTATTCCTGTATTTTGGCAAATAGACACAGTAGTTAAGTAATGCCTCCAGAATTGCAACTCTTAAGAACTGGATTGTTTCAGGTACACATTAAATAACATTAGCTAGTAAATTAATCTTACCTGTTTTTTTTTTTCCTTGCAGTTCTGAAGAACACACTATTCCTTTGCCCTGGGCTTGAGCAGTAAAGATCTGACTGCTGGTTGAACTGTTACCTCTTTGCTGTGATGGAAAAGCGCTCATCTAAAACAAGCCCCTTGTTATGCTGCTAAAACTGCCTCTGAATACAAGATCTGTGGTGATTGTTAAAACACAAACCCCAAAATGTCGGAACCCGACCCCTCATCTGGTTTTGTAGGAAACATGGAAAATGGGACTTTTCTGGAGCTATATCCTACGTCGCTTTCAACATCTGTGGATTCATCAGCTGGCCGTTTATCCAACGTCTACGTCTATGTTTCTATATTCCTCAGTCTCTTAGCTTTCCTCCTTTTGCTATTGATCATTGCACTTCAGAGGCTGAAAAACATAATTTCTTCCAGTTCCTCATACCCAGAATATAACAGTGATGCTGGAAGTTCTTTCACTAATTTAGAAGTCTGTAGTATTTCTTCCCAGCGGTCTGCTCTTTCAAACCTTTCTTCATGAAACTAAATGAAAGGGAATATATAGGGCATGGAGAAGCTTTGTCTAGTTTCTAGGGGAGGTAGTGCATGCAACATTTGCCTTAGGAGACGATGATGAAAAGGTGGCATTTAAAGTTTAGTTTTTTCTTTCCTTTTCTAGTCTTCATTTTCCCTTTTACTAATGTTGATTTGCATTTTGGATAATGACTCTTAATCATTGTTTCATGCCTGTAATTGCGATGCTTTTTCTCACACATATGTGGTGTTCATTAGGAGTATTCCTGCCAAACTGTAATATGGTTCTAAGTAGATGTGTCATTTTTTTCTGCTCTAGTTGTGGCCCCTTTCCTGGTTTTGTATTAATAATACGCTGTTTTTCCTTTTTTAATTAGAAAAGGATAAAATCTCTATTGCAAAAGTAACAAAAATGAGCTTAAATTATCAATATAGTTTGTGGGACAACTTAAAGTTGTTGACATTGTTTCCTTTTTTGTTTTTCTTGTCTTTTTCAGTATTTATTGGTGTTTATTGAATGCAACTAAAATCCATCTCCTGAAGAATGTTACATTTATTTATTTGTACTTCCAAATCATTCTGGATAAAGTTGTCTGTATTTCAGTTTTTAAATCTCTGAAATCTTTGGTTAAATTAGTAAAGCAACTACAATAACTATGGTCATTGCTGAATGTGTAGAGGTATTTTTGGACTACACTGCAAATAATTTGCCTAACGATTTATTCCTCTGGGGGGCAGCTTTTGCTTCGGAATCACACATCTCACAAAACTCCTGTGCTGATTGTGCATCCTATTGGTACAGGGTACCAGTACAAACCAATGGCTTCTTTTAGGAGATCCATATACTGTGACTGTAGCTAGTAGCTAAATAGCTCCTGGAACCATCCTTTCTTTAGGCACAAGATGTTTGCAAAGCCAGCAGGAATGGAAATTATTTGATCTGGTGAGGGTTTACTGGGGTGGACTTTGCCTTATATTTCACATATGCACACTGGGGTGGAGGAGGGACATGAGATGTTCCATTCATAGGCAGATCTGAGCTTTGACAATAAAGAGGTGCATCATGTCCTTGCAGAGGGTTGGAAGAGTTAGGAAGGAGAAAGGCAGTGGCTCTGCTCCTTTTCTCCATGAGCTTAAGGAAAGGCCAGAGATGGATGACTTTTCCCAACCCTGCTCCTTTTTGCTATGCTGTAGTCTGGGTTATGATCCCCTTTGCCTGCAATATAAGTTAGCACTCAGTTTTTGCAGTCAGATAACCAGCATTATTGTGAACAAGAGCCTGGAACCAGCTGTGAATTAAATTATCAGAAAAATTACTAACATGCCAAATGTGATCTACCAGGATTGCAGCCCCATGCTGTGCTGTCTTATTCCTTGCTGGCCTGATTGCTGTGTGTGAGGATAGCCTAGTCCTGCCATTCAGATCCATGCAAATGCTCCTCTGATGGCACCATGATAGTCACTGGAGAGATCAGAGGAAGGCTGTGGAAATGCCACTGCTGTATCTGTTCCTGGGGTAAGAGTGTGTACAGCTCTGGGTCACCAACAAGACACATTAACTACGCAGTCTTTAAAAGAGAAATTTAAAACTTCAGTGTAAATACAGTCATTAAAAACACAGCTGTTCAATGCCAAACAACGTGCAAATGGTGTTAGAGTTGCTGCTTTCAGTTTTTCAAAGTGAACCTGCAGTATGTGGGTAATTGTTAATTGATCATGGCGTTGATTAGCTCCTTACAAAGGACAATGGACTTACTGACCAAGAGATAAATTAAGGCCACAGGAGCTCTGAGACAAACTGTTTTTATAAATTTTGGCTCTCAAATATTTCATTCGTCTGGACAAAAATTCCTTGTAGGTTACTTTTCACTGTAATTGATGGTAGGCCTGGGAAAAAGACTGTAGTATTGAAAAGTGATCAGCAAAGATTATTGCCATTCAGAAAACTGTTCAAAATCCCAAATCTGTAACAGAATGTATTTGTGTGTTAACTTGGAGATAAAAATAAATGAACTTTAAACGCAGACAGGCAGTCATTCAGCTATCCTCTGTAAAACTGTTGCTTCCTTTACTGCAAATGCAGGAACTGAATCAAAACCAGAGATGAGAACGCAATCTGAGTTGGGTATTTATTCCCAGTGGTAATGTTCTTTTTATCAGCTTATGCTTACGGATGCACAGATACTTACTATTAAATACAGACTGTTGAACACCACTGGCTTTGTTCAGTGAGCTTTAGTCAAACTGCATGAGAGCAAAAATTATTTTTCAGCCCTGCAGAGAGTTGCCCGTCGGTCCTGGTGGACACCCAACTGGCACCTGGGCTAGCAATGCACAATTGCTGCAGAGAAGGTCAAGAGCACCCTGGGCTGCATTAGTAGGAATGCTGTTAGCTGTTCAAGGAAGACAATGGCAAAAAATACCTGCAGTGCTGGCTCCAGTTCTGAGCTCCTCAGTACCAGAAAGATGTGGGTTTCCTGGAGCAAGCCCAGCAAAGAGCCATTAGGCTAATTAAAGGACTGAAGCACCTTCTATGAGGAGAGGCTGAGAGAGCTGGGACTGTTCACCTGGAGAACAGAAGGCTCAGGGAAGGAAGGATGGGAAGCCAGGCACATCTCAGTAGTGCTCTGAAAGATTTTCCTGATTTTCCTCTGTAAGCTTAAACTATTGCCTAGTTTTCCTACAAATATCTTTTACCATGTAAACGATTCTTGTCCTCCTTCCACACAATATGGTATTAGCCCTCTTCTTTTGCCTTCTGATCCTGTGGTGCTCTGATAAGGATGATGCCCATGGACTATCATGGTGCTCTGCAATTGATTTTCATCCCTTCAGAGTCTTGTTTTCAGTGATACCACTGGGAAAGACATCTGTGTGGGAAGGATATTTACAGAGCCCATGCACCTCTCATTCTCAGTGGTGGGACTATTTTGGCTGCATCTGTCACAGCTGCCTAAAGAAACACAGAAGCACAGCCCAGCTGTGCCCAGAGCTGAATGTCCTTCTCATGCTTGCATGCTTGGACACTCTATGAAACATGGGCTTGACCTTGCCTATGTCCTTGGCATATGGTAGAGCAGGCTTTAAGCTCCTGTACCCTAAATGTATTATGGGATGCAGCCAGTCTGCACTCACAGAATCATCACAGAATCATAGAATTGTTTGAGTTGGAAGGGACCCTTAAAGATCATCTAGTCCAACCTGAAATCAACAGGGAAATCAAACAGGCCCAAGATGCTGCCCCAGGCTGGGACCAGATCAGGGACACCTTGCAGATGCCACATGAAGATGTTTTCAGGGTGGGTGGCTCCCAGCACTATGTTTTGGAATAAAAAAGCACATCAGCCTGCTGTGTTTTTGTTTTTGGGGCCAGGTAATCAATTTTTATCACTCTGGGAATTGCCAGGCAGGCAGGACCAGGTGTGATGAGCTATTTTTCACTTCTTTGAGTTACTTCTTTGTTTTAGATCAGAGGGAGCTGAGCACTCAGCATAAGTCTGAAAGTCCCAGCAAGTGATCATCAGCACATCTAGGGTCACAGAATCACAGAATCGTAGTGGTTAAAAGGAACCTCCAGGAGACCTCACCACCAACCCATCCGCTAGGCTCTGTCTTGAGCTTGCGCCCAGCAATTTCTTGTGAGCGAGAAACAAGCATTTATCATGTCTTGTAGAGCTTTAGTTGGTTCTTTCAGAAATGTCCTTTCTATGCCAATCTGATAAAATGGATTAAATCCTTGCTGGCTCCCTTCAACCTAACAGCTTCATCAGGATTCAGAAAGTGGAAGCAAACACTGAGACTTACAGATGATACTAAGCCAGGCTGAGCTGCAAACACCTAGCAGGGCAGAGGAATAATGCCAACAGAAGCATGGCTGGAAGCAAAATGAGATGGAGCCTGAAAAACATGCAGAGTAATGTCTGAGGCAGAAACAAAATAGAAAAGGAGCACTCCAGGTGTGGGAGAGATGTGGGCAGCAGGGACAGAAAAGCATCTAAGCTGCATATAAACTGCTTTATATTCAATATATCCTACTCTTATACTGAGCATTTACTCTTATATTATGTGTAATTACTAATATGCTTTAAGAGGTTTTGTTCGGAAAATAACCCCTAAGTAAACATCTATTGTATTTCTGCAGGGATTATTTTCCTTCCTTAACTTCTCTATAAGACTGTTTACATGAGTTGATAGTGATAGGACAAGGGGAAATGGTTTTCAACTGAGACAGGGGACGTTTAGGTTAGATATTAGGAGGAAGTTTTTCACACAGAGGGTGGTGACACACTGGAACAGGTTGCCCAAGGAGGCTGTGGATGCCCCATCCCTGGAGGCATTCAAGGCCAGGCTGGATGTGGCTCTGGGCAGCCTGGTCTGCTGGTTGGCGACCCTGCACATAGCAGGGGGGTTGAAACTGGATGACCGTTGTGGTCCTTTTCAACCCAGGCCATTTGATGATTCTATGATGATTCTATATTTAAGGAATTTGCAAATTCCCAATTATACCCCTCAGTTGTATTCACAAAGTAATGGCCAGATGTGCAATTTCAGCCCTATAGGAAAAAAGGGTAAGACCAGAATGTGACCCCAGACGGAGGCTAAAGGTTGGGTTAGATGTGTTACACACAGGCAGCCACAGTTTCTGGACACACACGAGTGACAAGAGAAATGTCACATCCTCCTGTCATATCTACACCTGCAGTACACATCTGTCAGCCCAACCAATAGTGTTTTGCTGTGACTGCTGGTATGTAGGGTCAAGTGGTACAGAGTAGAGGATGCTGCCATCTGTATCTTGTATCCTCTTGTATCTCTGTTGTTTTCTGTGGTTTTTTTTTTTTTTTTCATCTAAGAAGCAGAACTTTGTTTCCCATATCATAAAGTCTATTAAAAGTAAATAAAAATGTTATTCACTGATGCACACTGCAGCTAGTCCCTGTATCTCAAGCCGCAAGTATGTGTTGACGTGGGAGTGGCAGTTGTTTGTTACATAACCAGTCCCACTCCCCAGAAGACCCTTCAGAACAAAATAGCAGTAAACGTTCTACTGAATTAGAAAACACTGTATCTCACGCTGAAGCTAAAGAAGATTGGGCTGACAGATTTATAATTGCTCAGATCTACTGAGAATTCTGAACAAGACAAGCTCTTTGACCAAAGGCACTTTCTAGCATCTATCTCATCAGTATTCATTAAGTGGAAACGTAGGCTGCTGCGATGAAGGATACCAGATACAGCAACATGAACTTCAGCAACATCAAAAGCAATTAGCCAGGTACTAGAATCAGAGTACTTCCTTCAAAGTGGAAGTGAGCTAGTAAGAATGCAAGATTTTGCATTACAAAAATTGATTGCAATTTCATGATACAAGCGTGGTTACAGAGAAAAAGTGGAAAAACAGTAACTACAGCAGTCAGATGTACTTGCCAATAAATGTCATTGCTGAGATTGGGTCTGTCTAGCTTTCAGCATTTGTTTTGTTCAAATTTTATATAAAAAAAGGCAGAGCTCTGGGAGAGTCTTTGAATGATTGAATCACTATCCCTGGAGATGTTCAAGAAACATTTAGATGTTGTACTAAGGGACATGGTTTAGAGGGGAAATATTGGTGGCACATGTATGGTTGGATTAGATGATCTTGGAGATCTTTTCCAACCTTGGTGATTCTATGGTTCTATGATTATGATATTTCTGAAACAAGCACTATTCTGATTATATTATATACTTCTGAATTAAAAGGAGTTACTAAAAGCATGTCTATGCATATGAAATGAAATAACTTTTTAAATCTATATCATGGAATCATAGAGTGATCTTGGTTGAAAAGGATCATAGCGATTATCTTGTTTCAACCCCACTGTAGTAGATTTTTTTTTTCCAAAAGCACACTTGTGGTCACAGATTGACCTGTGATGAATTTTTTTCAATCATTTCATTCATCCGGAAAAAACAAGAAGTCAGTTTTTCATAAAACCTTAATTTAATTTTTGTTCATGTCTTAGACCTAATGCATGTTTGAACACAGACCTCCTGTTGACCTCCATGGAAGTTATGCGTCTAAAGGGAAAGCAGAACCAGACTCAGCAGACAGAATTAGCGTTTTTCTAATTGCTTTAATTGGTGTTCAATTTTTCCGCTGTTTAGAGCCCAAGTTACTGACTTTTAATGGGAAAAAGAAACGTATGCTGGAATAAAAATATAATCAGATAGGAAAAATAGATAACAATATTAGAGTTCCAGAAACAGAGCAATTGGTAAATGTGAATGTTTTCATCTGAGTTACGAATACCACTAATTTCCATTTCCGTTGTCACTTCAACTAACTTGTATTCAGGAAACCACATCCCTGAAAACGTGTAAAACATCTACTTTGAGAAACTGGGTGTCAATGCAGATACGTGCAGTCATCATACGGAGACCTCTGGAGCTGTGAAGAAGAAAACGACACTACCTCGACTGAGGACAGTGATTGTGAGTTGACCACAGGGTGGATCTAATTACATTATTCATTAGTTCAGCCTGGGGGTTGGGAGGAAATGACTCAATGGTCAGCAATGACATACTGGAATTATACCGTTGTTTGTTTTTTTCCAGATGAAACCACGCAAATAGTGACTTTAAAAGCATATCCTTACCACTACCAACTCTATTTAGTATCCAACATAGGCCTTCTGCTGATAACAAGTAACATCTGCATGAGAGCAAAAGGGCAGAGAAGTACTTCTGCAGACTCCGCTCATCCTGGGTGCTTGTAGACAATTTCCAGTGGAATGGGCACATAAAAATTAGAGCTGACAAGATGTATTTTTAGCCACACGCTTCTCACCTTGACATCAACACGCAGCATTTGTTTGGGTTTTGGATTTGTAACAGTAATGAAATCCTTGCATCTCCAAGTATCTTCTGAGTCCTAGTAAATTCACTATGCCTACCTGATGAGTATGCAGAGTGAAAAGTCCCTTCTGTAGGATGAGCCACAAATACAATCTGGGACAATATATGCTTCTTACACAAG